AGGGTAGGAGGGGCTGGGTGGGGGGTGGGGAGGAGCTGGTCACCCCGTGGTGCCCTTAGTAACCTCAGGTCGAGGTAACGTTACCTCAGCTGAGGTATCATTACCTCAAGTGAGATAACTTTACCTTAGGTGAAGTAACGTTACTTCAGGTAGAGGTAACTTTACCTCACCTGAGGTAACATTACTTCAGGTAGAGGTAACTTTACCTCAGGCGAGGTAACTTTACCTCAAGCGATGTAATATAACGTTAGGTCGAGATAACATTACCTCAGGCAGAGGTAAAATTACGTCAGGTAAGGTAACATTATCTCAAATGAGGTAACTTTACCTCATGCGAGGTAAAATTACCTCAGGTAAATGTAACATTACTTGAGGTAATCCGAACGTATTCACATCACTTCAGCTAATGCTCATATTTTTACGCTAATATCGTAATATCGTCACGTGGTTAAATCGTTAAACACAACGCTCGCGTGACGTCACCACCTCAGTGTCGAGCCGTCGACACTTCACGCGGCAGCCTCGAAGTGCACCCAGCCTGGCACAGGCGCCGTGGTGACGTCACCGTCACTCAGTGGCCAATGGCGGCGGTTGGTGGTGGTGGGGGGGAGTGGGGGGTGGGAGGTGGGGGGGAGTGGGGGGGGGGAAACGGAGTGGGGGCGGAATGGCGGTTGGGGGTGTGGGGGGTGGGGAAGAGGGGGGAGGGGGACGAGGGGGTGGGGGTGAGTGGGGGCGGAATAGATAGATAGATCGTTTATTGTCATTGTCACCAGTACAACGAAATTTAAAATGCTCACCAGTCAGGGCATCATTCATAAATTTAAATTAAATAAAACATGAAAATAAAAATTAAATTAAATGAAAGATAATCAATTTATACTATATATAAAAACAGCCCAAGTATACCCACATACCCACATAAGGTTACATTTTGTCATTGCACATCTCTATTTCACAGTCAATTGTAAACACTATTACTTAATAATTAATTAGCATTATTGAGTGTGGTGATCGCTGTAGGATAAAAGCTCTGTTTGAATCTGTTTGTCTTTGTTTTGACTGATCTAAATCGTCTGCCTGATGGCAACAGCTCAAACAGTGAGTGTCCAGGGTGAGAAGAGTCCTTTATAATGTTCTGTGCTTTTTTGATGCAACGTGAACTGTGTAGTTCTTCCAGTGTGGGGAGATGGCAGCCGGCGATCTTTTGGGCTGTGTTGATGACCCTCTGGAGCGCTTTCCTCTGAGCCACTGTGCAGCTGGTGTACCATACACAGATGCAGTATGTAAGAATGCTCTCGATGGAGGCTCGGTAGAAGGACACCAGCAGTTTCTGTGTGATGTTATTATTCCTGAGAATTCTCAGGAAGTAAAGTATCTGCTGGGCCTTTTTCAGAAGCTCAGTGCTGTTGGCGCTCCAGGTCAGGCCCTCCCCAATGCGGGGGGAGGAGGGGGTGGGGGTGAGTGATGGGGTGGGGGGAGTGGGGGTGGGGGAAGTGGCGGGGAGTGAAGGGGGGTGATGGGGTGGGGGGAGTGGGGGGTGATGGGGTGGGGGGGTGATGGGGTGGGGAGGAGTGATGGGGTGGGGGGAGTGGGGGGAGTGATGGGGTGGGGGGAGTGATGGGGTGGGGGGAGTGGGGGGTGGGGGGGGTGATGGGGTGGGGGGAGTGGGTGGGGTTTTATACTGGAAGGAACGAAGTGGACCAGACCACCAATAGATTAATGTGTCTGTCCGTCCGTCCGTCCATCCGTCCGTCCGTCTGACTGTCCGTCCGTCCGTGTATCAACATCGCCCCCTACTGCAAACACTTGGCATGACCCTACAAAAACCTTTAGACTCAGTGACGCTATCCTGGTAGCAACATCGCCCCCTACTGCAAACACTTGGCATGACACGTGTAACATTCCCTTATTCCCTGAGATAGCTTTTAATTAAAACTTACAGCTAGGCCTAAAGCCTAGAACTAGGCCTGAAACTCTCCCTTCGTATCGTACCCTCGCGTGTGTGAAAGGGAGTTATGTTTAACAATGTTACATTCCCTCATGTTTTTAAATAGAAACATTTAAATTTAAAGCTTTTATATAAATCATTAAAACATTTAAATAAAAAATTAACTCACAGCGCCCTAAAGCCTACAGCTAGGCCTAAAGCCTAGAACTAGGCCTCAATCTCTCCCTTCGTATCGTCCGATTTGGTGTAGCAACATCGCCCCCTACTGCAAACACTTGGCAGGACCCTACAAAAACCTTTTGACTCAGTGGGGCTTTCCTGGCTTAACAAGTGTAATAATAAACTTCGCTTCAAATTTACTTTACTGAAACGCAGCACGTTTTATTAACACAGAGACAAGATACATTTATTAACACAGAGACAAGATACATTTAATCGCCTTATTTGTGCACGAAAAGCACGGCGCGAGGCCTACTTCGGAAAAGGCTTCGCGAGGCCTACTGCAGAGAAGGCTTCGCGAGGCCTAGTGCAGAAGGCTTCGCGAGGCCTACTGCAGGAGGCTTCGCGAGGCCTAGTGCAGAGAAGGCTTCGCGAGGCCTAGTGCAGAGAAGGCTTCGCGAGGCATAGTGCAGAGAAGGCTTCGCGAGGCCTAGTGCAGAGAAGGCTTCGCGAGGCCTATTGCAGAGAAGGCTTCGCGAGGCCTAGTGCAGAAGGCTTCGCGAGGCCTAGTGCAGAAGGCTTCGCGAGGCCTACTGCAGGAGGCTTCGCGAGGCTTAGTGCAGGAGGCTTCGCGAGGCCTACTGCAGGAGGCTTCGCGAGGCCTAGTGCAGAAGGCTTCGCGAGGCCTACTGCAGAAGGCTTCGCGAGGCCTAGTGCAGAAGGCTTCGCGAGGCCTACTGCGACAGGCTTCGCGAGGCCGTCCCTCTGTCTGATAAGATGGCCGCCCGCTCCCCCTGCGATCCGTGAACTAAATGAACTAAACAAGATGGCCGTCGCATCCGGCGCAGCCAATGACATCGCCTGTTGCAATCCTTGCTCTGTGGGCGCGCGAGTCAGTGGGGAGGGGGGTGTTGACGTCATCGCTCTGTGGGCGCGCGAGTCAGTGGGGAGGGGGGGTGTTGACGTCATCGCTCTGTGGGCGCGCGGGTCAGTGGGGAGGGGGGTGTTGACGTCATCGCTCTGTGGGCGCGCGAGTCAGTGGGGAGGGGGGTGTTGACGTCATCGCTCTGTGGGCGCGCGAGTCAGTGGGGAGGGGGGTGTGGACGTCATCGCTCTGTGGGCGCGCGAGTCAGTGGGGAGGGGGGTGTGGACGTCATCGCTCTGTGGGCGCGCGAGTCAGTGGGAGGGGGGTGTGGACGTCATCGCTCTGTGGGCGCGCGAGTCAGTGGGGAGGGGGGTGTGGACGTCATCGCTCTGTGGCGCGCGGGTCAGTGGGGAGGGGGGTGTTGACGTCATCGCTCTGTGGGCGCGCGAGTCAGTGGGGAGGGGGGTGTTGACGTCATCGCTCTGTGGGCGCGCGAGTCAGTGGGGAGGGGGGTGTGGACATCATCGCTCTGTGGGCGCGCGAGTCAGTGGGGAGGGGGGTGTTGACGTCATCGCTCTGTGGGCGCGCGAGTCAGTGGGGAGGGGGGTGTGGACGTCATCGCTCTGTGGGCGCGCGAGTCAGTGGGAGGGGGGTGTGGACGTCATCGCTCTGTGGGCGCGCGAGTCAGTGGGGAGGGGGGTGTGGACGTCATCGCTCTGTGGGCGCGCGAGTCAGTGGAGAGGGGGGGTGTTGACGTCATCGCTCTGTGGGCGCGCGAGTCAGTGGGGATGGGGGTGTTGACGTCATCGCTCTGTGGGCGCGCGAGTCAGTGGGGAGGGGGGTGTGGACGTCATCGCTCTGTGGGCGCGCGAGTCAGTGGGGAGGGGGGTGTTGACGTCATCGCTCTGTGGGCGCGCGAGTCAGTGGAGAGGGGGGTGTTGACGTCATCGCTCTGTGGGCGCGCGAGTCAGTGGGGATGGGGGTGTTGACGTCATCGCTCTGTGGGCGCGCGAGTCAGTGGGAGGGGGGTGTGGACGTCATCGCTCTGTGGGCGCGCGAGTCAGTGGAGAGGGGGGTGTTGACGTCATTGCTCTGTGGGCGCGCGAGTCAGTGGGGAGGGGGGTGTTGACGTCATTGCTCTGTGGGCTCGCGAGTCAGTGGGGAGGGGGGTGTTGACGTCATTATTAAATAATACAATAATAAAAAGAAACCTTTTACTTATTATTTTTATTTTCATTAGTTTATTATTAAATAGCATTTTTATTTTAATAATAAAATTTTACAATTACTTTTTTGTTTTATTATTATTTTATTATTTCCATCTTACGTGACTTTACCGAAAGAACCAAGCAGATGAATCCCTGCAGTCACGAAAGAAGCTTTAAATCGAAATGACCACCGCGTTACAGGAGAACAACAGATCGTGAACGCGCTTCGACGATTCATGGCAACGGCAACACAAAGCGCCACGCGCAGTCTCTTGCGACCTGCTGTGGAGTGACTCATGCAGCCAGCTATGGCTGCAGGGTTTTGGTAGTACATGTTGTTTATGCCATTTATTGTGAAAATTCCGTCACAGTTCCTATGATTGCTTTTTCATTGCTTTCATGGCTTTATTTTGGTGATTTCGAAAAGTGTATTGGTTTAGCCATGTTTGTGTTGTTGTAGTACAGAGTTAGACTGATGGCCTTAATCTAAGTTGTCTTGTGGTTGTTGTTGTTGTTTGACTTGCATCCCACTGGGATTTTTGCACACAGCGTTGGTGTACGGTGTTTTTTCTGCAATATTTTTGCTGTCTTTTCTTGGATTTTCTGTTTGCACTTAGTCACATATTCACTTTAAGATGTTTTTTGTTCATGTTTTTTGTTTTTTGTTTGTTGCGGTTGCACCCGATTCAAGAGCTGAATGGCTCACAGGGCTATACCTAATAAATGAACTTAAATGAACTTGAAACCAGCGGTGTCCGCCCTTTAACCCCTGACCCCCCCGTCCAGCTCTTCCCCGCGCGTGCGATTGGTGCGTGTTGTCGTGAGAGCGGAGATGTCGTGTTTGCGTGGTGCGTGAGGGTGGCTCGCAGATCCCTTAAAGTGCTTGAACCATTCACCGACTCCTCTTCACATGTAATCTGACCGCTCAAAAAGAGCGAGTTTTATTCTTTAAAAAATACGATACTTTCTTCCAATAGGTATCCCAATTTATTCTAAACCATGTTCCATGATTGATGCAATGTTGGAATGCTGCTCAAATACCGTTCCTAAATTAGACATAAGGGTATCCTGGAATGAGCAAAGCATTCGTTTAATTGCGAGCAATTTGGGACGAGGGCAACTCGACGACGGTGTCCTTATTAATAACAAAACCCCTGTGCACGACTGTCCGAGCTCTTTGCAAGCAAGTGGGTGGCTCTGAAAAGAGCCGTTGTTGTGGTGGTAGAGGCGGCGGCGCGTTCACTTCTTTGCCTGAGAGGTCTTCTTGGGCAGCAGCACGGCCTGGATGTTGGGCAGCACACCGCCCTGGGCGATAGTCACGCCGCCCATGAGCTTGTTGAGCTCCTCGTCGTTTCGCACGGCGAGCTGCAGGTGTCGGGGGATGATCCTCGTCTTCTTGTTGTCGCGGGCGGCATTGCCAGCCAGCTCGAGGATCTCGGCAGAAAGGTACTCGAGCACGGCGGCCAGGTAGACGGGTGCTCCAGCGCCGACCCGCTGGGCGTAATTGCCCTTGCGGAGCAGCCTGTGAACGCGACCCACGGGGAACTGCAGGCCGGCGCGGGAAGAGCGGGACTTTGCCTTGGCGCGAGATTTGCCACCGGTCTTGCCGCGTCCAGACATCGTTAAGGGACCTAGGATGCAAAAAGCACTGGAAACAAAGTACGAACGATTTGTGACGTTAACACGCACCACGGGAGCGGCTTTTATAGCGGAGACGAGGATCGTAGAGCGCGCCGCTGCTGATTGGCTCCTCTCGCTCGAGTCCCGCCCTCTCCTTGAGCCACCAATGACAAGCCGGGACGCGAGGATTCGATGTTGACTTTCATTATTTGTATCCATATATGTTTTAATGCGCACACGCATCTTATGAATTAATAATGCGCACACGCATCTTATGAATTAAACAATGCGATACACGTACTTAATAGGTTCAAGTTTTAAGCATGATAGAGTTAATTTATGGGCGCGTGCTGGCAAGTCAAACTTATAAGCGGATTCCGCAAATATCAATGTATTATTGATTATAATCATCATTTTGAGGGACCGCATTGGTTATAATAAATCATTGTGATAGCCTTGAGCTCGTGATTGATCGCCCACGTGCCTATACGGTGTATAGATATTTTTCTTTAACCGCCTGTTCGGGCAATGCCTAAAAATATATGTGCGTGAATAATTCAGTCTCAGTTTGCAAAATGTGAACTTCTTATCAGCTCGGGCTTGAAACAGCATACACCAATATCTTTGGGTTTAATCTATATATATAAAATCGTGAATGTCTGTCTGTCTGTGTGTGGATGTCGGACCATACGCACTTTCATTGGACGCCGGTTGCCCCTGGCAACGGCTAGTGACGCCGGTTGCCCCTGGCAACGGCTAGCGACGGGCTAGCAGTTGCGGGGTGGACGCCATCTTTAATTCCCGTTAAAAATAGGCGCACGCATTAACACGCGACTCTGAGGTAAATTCATCTAAGTTTCACGTCCTCTTTACTCCCCCCCCCCCACCACAATGTGTGCTATTACTAATATAGGGTCGGTAGATTATTAAATTATAGCGATTACACAGTATTATTGAAGCGCGGGGGGGGGGGGGGGGGAAACGGCACCCGTACCCAGCGTCAGCCGGGTGGCAAAATCAGGCGAGGCGGGAGGCTCTGCGCGGTGCGAGGCCTCCACACCCACCACGCGACTCTGAGGTAAAATACATTTCACCAAAATAACCCTTTTGTTGTACACTATGTAAACATGGTTTCACAACGCTTATATACAACACCAACGTGTGATGTTGAAAAATACGAGCGGCGGGGTATAGAAAATGAACTTCATTGTCGCTTACGCCTGACGACTCGTGACCAGCAACCGAAGGTTTCCGGCACCCGAACTTTGAAGGACACACATGGAAGCTTTCTCACGAGTAAGTGGTGGCTCTGAAAAGAGCCTTTGTGTTGTGCTTTGAGGGCCGAGCTGGGCGTTCAAGCGCGCTCGCCACGAATGCGGCGGGCGAGCTGAATGTCCTTGGGCATGATGGTGACGCGCTTGGCGTGGATGGCGCACAGGTTGGTGTCCTCGAAGAGCGCGACAAGGTACGCTTCGCTGGCCTCCTGCAGAGCCATGACAGCGGAGCTCTGGAAGCGCAGGTCGGTCTTGAAGTCCTGCGCGATCTCCCTGACGAGGCGCTGGAAGGGCAGTTTGCGGATGAGCAGCTCGGTGGACTTCTGGTAGCGGCGGATCTCGCGCAGAGCGACGGTGCCGGGCCTGTAGCGGTGAGGCTTCTTGACGCCGCCCGTGGCCGGAGCGCTCTTTCGGGCCGCCTTGGTGGCGAGTTGCTTGCGGGGGGCCTTGCCGCCCGTGGACTTGCGAGCCGTCTGCTTGGTGCGAGCCATGGCTTGGTGAGGGCAAAGATTCTCACAGGCGGGGAGGAGAAGGCGGCTTATGTAGCCCAGAGCGCGCGCTCACTGGTCAGCGGAGTCGTGACGTGCGAAGAAGGGGCGCGTGCTGATTGGTTGGCAGCGTGCAATGATCTCGAGTCGTCAACTCTTCTTCATCAACGAAATGTTCTCACTTTGGAGCATTGCAGAATGCCGCATCACGATGCAGTAGTTCCGTTTGAGCGCCGTCCATGTCTTTAACGGATGTTCTTTTCTCAAGCAAACACCTTTCCGAAAACAACTTTACAGTGCTCCGCATGATCTAAATAAAGTGTGAAGAAACTGCACTTCATTGGAAGCAGTAATACGTAAAAAATATTCTTTGGTTCTTTCGGTAAAGTCACGTATAAAGAAAAAATAATAAATTAAATAATAGCATACGACGTTTCGATTGCAACACAAGCAATCATCATCAGGTATAATGAAATAGCGACAAAATCTAACCATAAAAAATTATAGACAGACATATAAGCAGACAGATATCACCAATTTGTTTTTTTATATACGTGACTTTACCGAAAGAACCAAAGAATAATTCCTGCAGTCACGAAAGCTCCAAAGTTAATACGTGAAAATGTCGAAAAGAGGTGATCACAGGAATAGATATCTATTCTCTTGGCATTGAGATGATGATCATCAATTATACTGCACGAGTCATCCATGCTAGGCGCTTACTTTTACATAGATGCACACGTGCAAAATGTTAGTTCCTGCCCGAAAATACAACCACGAATTAAATATATTGCATTGCAAGGTTTTGGCACCAAATATCCAATGTAATATCTGAATGGGCTGCAGATGAAATCAATGGACAAACACGTCAAAGAAATGCCTGCTGGTGAATATGATGTGCCATGAATATCGTTTTTATTCCCGTGGAAACAGGTTAAAATGCGTTCCATCTCTCCATTTCACTCAATGAGCGAACAATGTCCCCGCGTGAACCGGGGCTTTGTTGGAAGTTTCGTTTCGTACTCCTGCTAGGACTGGTACAAGCAGGTTCGGAGAGGTGGGTGGCTCTGAAAAGACCCTTTGTAATGAATGGTGGAGTCGAGGCTTCACTTGGAGCTTGTGTACTTGGTGACGGCCTTGGTGCCCTCCGACACGGTGTGCTTGGCCAGCTCGCCGGGGAGCAGCAGTCGCACTGCGGTCTGGATCTCCCGAGAAGTGATGGTGGAGCGCTTGTTGTAGTGCGCCAGGCGGGACGCCTCGGAAGCGATGCGCTCGAAGATGTCGTTGACGAACGAGTTCATGATGCTCATTGCCTTGGACGAGATGCCGGTATCGGGGTGCACCTGCTTCATCACCTTGTAGATGTAAATGGCGTAGCTCTCCTTCCTGCGGTGGCGTCGCTTCTTGCCATCCTTGCGCGTAGCCTTGGTCACAGCCTTCTTGGAGCCCTTCTTGGGAGCAGGAACCTTGGCCGGCCCAGCGCTCTTTGATGCGGGAGGATCGGGCATGTCGACGCGTCGTAGGCAGCAGCTTCAGGTCAGAACAGACGGGAAGCGAATGTGGATGTCGCTCGCGCGTTGAGCTCCTTTTATAGGAGGCGAGATGCAAATCAGAGGATCGTAGTGCGCGGCGCTGCTGAGTGGCTCTTTTAGTACCGTCCCTCTCCATCAGCCTCCAATGAGAAACGCGGACGCGATGTTCACTTTAATATCGATTTTACTGCTAAAAGGACTTGTGAATATAACACAATGTAATGTCCAAACATGTGTATTAGTGAATTGCAGCCATGGCATTGCCTTTGTTTTAAAAAGGATGACTAGAAAACCCAATACAGTATATTGTGTTTTGAGCGTGGGTTTTTTTGTTTCTTACGAGGGATTGTTTCACCACTCGTCTAATACGGCGCACGGGCGTTTTATGAACGCAATTTGGAAAAATACAAGCGCTCGGTGGAGAAAAATAACTTCGCTGTTGTGCTGTACAGGTGGAGATTAGCATTCCGGCACGCTCCGTCAATTAGGACGAGTGTGCTGTAAGATTGTGGCGCCAAATGCTCTACGTAATATCGTATTCGGCTGCAGCTGGAAATAATTAACGCAAAATACCAGAAATGGGTACTGTATTAAGGCGTTCAAGAATTACGCCTTGTTAAATGTGACGTGAATATCATTTCTTTCATTCATTCATGTGGAAGCAGATGAAGATTCGCCAACTCAACAAGCAAACGTCCAGCACGCTCACAACAACCCAGGACATGTGCTCCATTCAGAGCGTGTTTGGCAACACTGGCGCAAGCAGTTTCGAAGAGGTGGGTGGCTCTGAAAAGAGCCTTTGGGTTGGCTTAGTGTGCGAGAGATGGGCGCTCAGCCTCCGAAGCCGTAGAGAGTGCGGCCCTGGCGCTTGAGGGCGTAGACCACGTCCATGGCGGTGACGGTCTTGCGCTTGGCGTGCTCCGTGTAGGTGACGGCGTCGCGGATGACGTTCTCAAGGAAGACCTTCAGGACGCCGCGGGTCTCCTCGTAGATGAGGCCCGAGATGCGCTTCACACCGCCGCGGCGAGCGAGGCGGCGGATGGCGGGCTTGGTGATGCCCTGGATGTTGTCGCGCAGCACCTTGCGATGGCGTTTTGCGCCTCCCTTGCCGAGCCCCTTACCGCCTTTACCGCGTCCAGACATTGCGACTACTTGTGACAAAGCTCCTCGCGAGAGACTGCGCGCTCAGCTTGCAGCAGCAGCCGCCTTTATACCCGAAGCGTGGCGACGTCACCGACCACCCCTGCCCTCCGCGATGGCTCCGCCTTAAACCTTCCACCTTTAACCTCTGCGACGAAGAAAACCCTCCACCGTCGTCAATAACACTTCCTTGACATGTATAATATGCGACGTTTTGGGCAATGGACCCTTCTTCGAAGCACTCTGGAATGATATTGGCACACCCGCAGCGAACGCCAGAGGAACGCGATCTGTTGCAAGATTGCACGTGGAGTGAATAATCGGTGTAATAAGGTCTTGTTTGCAAGTGAACAAGATGAACTAACTTTATAATCGTGTGAAGCTAAACGGCTTCCAACACAATAGTTGAGTGAACGTCACCAACTAGTTGTCCCAAAGTAAGAAAGACATTGAAAACAATGCGACATTTACGTATATAAATTAATTTAATAGAGAAGTTTAGATGGTGCACCGCAATGTTTACAAAACAAAAACAAAGTGAAAAGGCGAGAACGAGCGAATGAAGGCAAATGAGTAAAGCTGTCTGGAATCAAAACATTTTTAGACTAAATTCCATATTTGGCACCAGTAAGCATGATGACGGAATGAAGAGGTGCAACACATAATCAAATTGGAGGTTCGTCAAGAATGCATCATTTTGAATCTGGATTTAGATTAGAATCGCCAGCGAGAATGCTGACGTCGCTGAGATTATTACTCTGCACTCAGTTCGAGTGAGGGAGCTGCCACCCGCCTCGCCTGTGTTTGTGATCCCTGCTTTCGGGCTCGATCACTCCCATCACATCAATGCTTAAAACACATCGAGTGGGTGAAATGTTACACAGTTAATTTGAACTAATTGAAGCGCAGCAGCATCTGGTTCACTTTTTTAACGAAGTGGGTGGCTCTGAAAAGAGCCGTTGAGGTGGAGTGAATCGAGCGTCGGTCGTCCCATCGGATTCACTTCTTTGGCGCAGTCTTCTTGGGCTTGGCCGCGGCCTTCTTGGGCTTGGCCACCTTGGGTTTGGCGGCCTTGGCCTTGACGGTCTTGGGCTTAGCGACCTTGGGCTTCGCAGCCTTGGGCTTGGCTGGGCTCTTCGCCGCCTTCTTGGGCTTAACAGCCGACTTCACCTTTTTGGGGCTCTTGGCCGCCTTGGCAGCCGCGGGCTTCTTTGCTTTCTTGGGAGACTTCTTGGGCGCGGTCTTCTTGGCTGCCGCGGGCTTCTTCACCTTCTTGGCTGCCGCGGGCTTTTTAGCTGCGGGCTTTGCCGTTGACGACTTGGGCTTCGCCTTTGCGGCAGCCTTTTCCTTGTTGAGTTTGAAAGAGCCAGACGCGCCGCTGCCCTTCACTTGCGCCACGGCGTCTTTGGCCACGAGCTTCTTGATGGCCAACTTCACGCGGGCATTGTTCTTCTCCACGTCGTATCCTCCGGCAGCAAGCGACTTTTGAGCGCAGGAAGAGACACGCCGTTCCTCTCCTTGCTGCTGGCCAGAGCCTTGAGATGAGCTCGGACACGCTGGGGCCGACCTTCTTGGCCTTTGGAGCGCGCGCTTCTTCTTGGGGCTTTTAGGCGCTGAAGTAGCCGCAGCGGTGTGGTGAGCAGGAGCAGTTTCCGCCATCTCAAGACGTCGCTTTTATCGCCTCGCCTCTTGGAAACCGAAATCAGCGCTCTCACGAATTCGAACCGGAGCGTCCTCCAGGCCCGAGGTTATTATAGAAGCGTCGTACTGAATGCGGACGTCGCTGAGATCATCCAGCACTCAGCTCTAGTGAGGGAGTTGCCACCATACTCACTGTGTTTATCACGCCTGCCTTTGGGCTCGATTACTCCCGTAACGTGTCATACTTCATGCATCTAGTTAATACATCATCACGAGATCACTTCTTAATGTACGTTACTTAGTGCAATATACGACAATGCTCACGATATAAATTATAATTCTAAACAAGTGAACAACCAACATTTGGGAGACATTGTTCGGTCAGGGCAAGATATGATGATTGTCGGGTTTTCAAAAGTGTTACGATGAACACTATTTAAAACGCACTCGAATTTTTTGCAAGACAAGATGCTTCAACATACTACTCATTTAATTCCAACGAAATATTTTCTATTTAAGTTTTGCCTCGCGCGCTCGCGATTCCTCCTCTCGCGCTATGGTGAGGACTGCGCGCCATGTCAATCGTCCCTGTCACCGAACTTTTACTGGACGTTTTAATCGAACTTTGAAATGAATAAATTTATGGATTTTCAGATGGACAACAAACTGAAGAAAATTACTCAAAATTAACGACATTAAATAGAAAGTTTAACATTTTACGTGGCAAGAGGTGAGTAGGTCACGCACTGCAGAAGGGTCGCGCGCTTTGAAACAAGATCGAGGCACGGTGCACAATCATCACCACTAAAATTCAACTCAAGTGACTCCGCAGTCGAATGTTTAAAAAAATATATAATCTTACGTTTAATGCATTGACAGAGTTGATATTCTAGGAGCGCAGGATGGTTCATGC